GATGTGGGTCTTTGCCTGGCCCAGCACGACTGAAGTCCATGTCTCTGATCTGCTTTTTACTGCTGATGGTTTGGCCTGTGTCATTTCGTCCCCTGGTGTTTCTAAGGCTCACCCAGTCTCTACATGGCAAGCACTGTGCCCACCAGCGTGGCATATAGAGTGACAGGGAGTAGGCACTGCCTCCTCCAGAGCAGCTGGACGGTATTTCCTCTCCTTTCACGCTCTAAATGCTGCTCCCCCTCTGCCCTGCCATTTGGACAGAGGGATGATTCCTCTCTCCTGACTTTTTTCATAAATGTCTACGGATGCAAAACTGTATTCACAGGCACGTAATTACCAAGTCGGGTATTTTCTCCTCTTAATTAGCAATGCTGTGGTGCTTTAATTGCTCGATTAAAGTTGCCCACAAGGAAGGTTTAAGGTACATTAAATTTGCTGATTGGTTCATCAGCATGAATCCCACCAACTGGAAAAAATTAACTGGCTTCCAGATTGTTAACCAGACTTTCCAGATCCATTTCCACCAGCCATGTGTCACGGGAGGCATGAGAGAAACCGGCAGCAGAGATGCCTGGGAGTTAGTCCATAAACGTCTGACTGTCCCTCTCCTCTATCTCTCTTTAATTTTGGGAGTTGGAGGTGAAAGAGTCCTGCAAGCCACAGTGTCACTCCCCTCTCCTTGTCCAGAGGACACAGTCTGCCCTGCACAGGTCATTTTTCCAGTTTAAGCAGAGCTGAGTAAAATCTACCCCAGGGCCACCACCTGATTCGAGAACAAGGGAGGTCCTTTCAGTTACTGCTCATCCTCAGATCTTGCAGGCTACAAACACTCATTGGTGTTGTCTGCAAATGGGCTGGTGAAGCAGGACCTGCTAATTGCTGCTCCCTCATCAGCTTTCTCCAGCCAAAGGCAGCATCTCCCTGAACCTCCCAAGCGCCACAGAGGACAAGCACCAATCAGGACACCCAGAAACTAAAGAGACTAGTCCCAAACTTTTTCGAAAAATGTCTGAACAGCAAGTTTAGATCCAAAAAGACATGGACAGAGAGCAAAGGCATGCTAGGCTCATTGGGAATGGCATTTCCACCAAAGGCTGATCAACCTGCTCTGATCACAGAGAAGGGGGGCTATCACTCCTGCTTTACCCTTTATTATTTGTTCGTTAAAGAAAATGCTTCCTGGGAAATTCTGCAGTCCTGGACATCTCCTTGCTGTCTGGATGAATGGATTTGTGTCAGCTCCTAGACAGCAACACTTGTGATCTATAACCATGACTCTATTCCCAATGGTCCAAACTGACTATCTGTACATATATAACTCACTATCAGCTAAACAGATTTTAACCCAACTGTCCAATGTTGCTCACTGTTAGCTGGTGACAGACACAGCAGAAAGACAGCCCCAGCGGCCAGTGTCTCAGGTAGTCACAAACACGATGCAGTCCAGCCAAAGGAAGAATTTAAAGCAACGCTGACTCCACTGTGAGAGCAGGGACCATAAAGCCCGGGTGCCTCAGTGTCCCACAGTAAATTCAAGAGTCACGCCCTCGCCTGCCTCTGGGACTCCTCAGTCTCCCCTCTCCGTCTCCAAAGGAGATGTGAGATACACATGTGTACATCTCTTGTACTGTGTACAAAGGAGATGTACCTGTGTCCTGGCTCTCAGCTGCACGTACATTTTAGGAGGTGGCTTGTGGATTTCTTTGCTCCCACAGAAGCAGAATCAGGGGGTTTGTCTTTCGGTTAAATGCTGCCGTTTTTCATTTAGCTAATTGTTCTGACCACATTGAAATATGTCTCTATTTGGCCTGTACTGTGGCTATATATAAATAAGAAGAATTATGTTGATTGTCTTCTTACCTGATAAATCACTGGGTCAAATCCTTTTCACTTCCTGCTACTCATTCTTTTATTATTATCCTATTCAGGCAGGATAGTTGCTATCTGCTGTGTGTAAGACATTGCCGTGTTCTTCTCTTGCTCTGGACTGATGCGTTTCAAGGAGGAGGAAGGCTGAGCTGTGAATGGCCTCCCCTTCCCCACCACCAGCAGTGACAAATCATGCTCAGACTCGGTTTCTGTCCAGCAAGGCACTGCAGCACCTGCACCTCACTCCAAGCCACAGCGGGAAAAGTGCTCCCGTGTCCCTAAAGATAAGCCAGGGAGATGCACAAGGCACAGATACAGAGCACAGCTGGCTTGCGTGGTGTGGGGTGTGATGCATCTGATGCCAGGCTGGCTGTCATCCTTAGTGTAGTCCTGACCCTGGTGCCCCGGGGTAACAGAAAGGCTGAGATTTGGGATCCCCTAAGCCTATGGAAAGTCACCCTCACGTCCTTATGGCAAGCATCAGCGCATTGCAGCAAGATAAAACATGTGGATCCCACCAGGGCAAATGCAAGGGGTCAGAAATCCCAACCACCACCCTCCAGCCCGAGCAAAGGGATGTTCAAGTGACTGCTGAGGGTAAAGGGGATGAGAAGCCAAGTAGTCCAACAGGTACCCGTGTATCCTCCACCACATCCAATCTCATCCCATCATCCTAGCTCCGTGGCACAGCCTTCCTCCTCCTTCCAACGGTTTATAACAACTTTGGCCATGATCTGGTTTCCTGAATGTCTTCCATCACTCTGGCAGGTCCTTAGAAAAATGAACATTAAAAAGGAGGGGGAGAAACTTCCACTGTTCAAACATCTTTAGCCTTGACAAATAAGGCGTCCGGCTGTGAAAGGCAAAAGGAAATTAATTTGGAATCACATTTTAAACACTGCCATAAAGGCAAAGTATCTTCTCTTTAATTTTTTCCCCCAAGAAAAAAAATGAATTTCCCTGATATTTATAGAAAGATTATTAGGGCCACAAGAAGTGATTTATATCATCTCGTCCCAGTGACGGAGAATGAAAAATTACTGGGGCGACAGCCACTGGAATCCTGCTTTTGTCGGCCTGACAATTAAAACGGCTAATTTCCAATTCCGACAGATCCACCAGGGTTATAAATCATTCCAGAAAGGCACTTTTCACCATGAAAAATGAACTCTGCCCCAATCAAGCACAAGAAGCTTGGATCAGAGATTTGTATCTGTTTGCTTTTGTGTGTAAATATATATACTCTGGCTCCACGCCCACCCACCGAAGGAGATGCTGGTAAGAAAGTGTTGCCCCTGCTCACTTGATGCCGGGCTATCAAATTGCCTGTATTCCTCCATTAGGTGCTGCTGAGGATGAATGGGACAGGGAAGACACAAGAAAGAGATGACCCTGAACCATTCCCTCCGAGGTCAAAGAAAGGCCAGTGACATTTCTGCCTGATTTCTGACTCAAAAAGCTTTGGAAAGCCTCACCCAAGAGCGTGGCTGGCTGGACCGTGCAGGTCTGGGTACATTTGTACGCACCAGGACCAGCCTCACCTCTGTCTGTCCATGCCATGCCTACGGGTCAGGGGCTGTGCACCAAGGGGTGGCCATACTAAAAGTCAGGACAGCCACTGGAAAGGGCACAGAGGTGCGGAGAAGAAGCTCTCTTACAGCTTTGCTCTCTAGGCAACAGACAGACGGGCTGATGTGTTGGGAAGAGCAAGGAGGGCTCAACACAACACAGACACTTGGGCTGCCCCCTGCGTGCGGTGGCACTGATCTCATGGAGCAAAATCTCCTGTAGTGGGCTGCAGGAGGAGGGATGTATGGAGGGCTTGTTGGGCCCTTCTGCACCAAACTTCTAACCCACAGCTCCTTGCAGTCCCAGGGCTGGGACTGAACCATCCAGGTGGCCTGCTCCAGTGCCCTCTTCCTAGGCGGCACATGCCTGGCCCCATGCACACTTCGCACCTACCCTTTAATGTGGGAGAGAAAGAAACATCCTGAATTAGCATATCTGTCCCAGGATGACTTTAAAATCAATGGTCACAGGCAGGAGGAATTTCAGATAGAAGCATTTATTCTGCCTGTCCTTCCAGCTCTATGTAGCTCAGGACTCTCTGGGGCCGGCACAGATCCCAGCAGCACCTGGACCTGTTCCAGCCCAACGTCGGACGTTTTAACCTTGCATCAAGTCTCCCTAAGACAAATGCTTCACTTAACGTTTCTATGAAATTCAAACAAAGGCTCCACACTCTTATTTGCAGAGGCAGAACGCTGCTCCCCTAAACACCTTCTACGAAGAAACCAAAAGCAAACAAATCTGTGTGGAGGGGGTCTCCCAGGGAGCCCAGAGCACCAAGCTCTGTACACATCCACCCCCTTGCCAGCAACAGAGCCCAGTACACAGCTGCTGCTGGTCACCCCGCTTTCTTATCGCAGTTTGTTCAGTTGGCAGCCTGAAGTCTGTCCTGCGGCACAGAGGATCTCAGGGAAGGCTCTCCACACCTCCGGATGGGATGGCACTGCAGCAACCCCGGGGAGGAGGGGGGTGATGGATGAATGCGATAACCTTGTTTTATAAAGCTCAGTTTCTCTCTTTTTGTTTTCCTTGCTGTCAAACTCTCTGCGAAAGAGAAGCAAGCGATGGAGGACTTCGGAGAGCCCAAGTGAGTTTTTCTGGAGCGTACCAGCATGGATCACAGCATCGCGGCTGCTGGGGGGACACAGCTGGCATCTCAGGCCCACACGCATCACCACGCACACCACAGAATGGTAAAACATGTCTCCCTGCACCGAAGGCACCCCTCATCCCAAAGCCAGCACCCATCCCAAAGCCATGCTCTGTGCACCAGGCACTGTGCCTGTCAGGTTCACAAAGAGCTTGAGAATGCTGTCAGGGACCTCTTTGCTAGCAGGAGGCATACAAGCAAGCAAGCAAAGGCTTGGGCAGCCCTTAGCCTCAACAGGCCAAGGAAACCGTACTGGTCTCTGCCACGGTCCCACCAGCTCATTCTGCAAAGCTGGTTCTCCAAGTTCTTGCAAGCAGGCCTATGTCCTCCACCCTTCCCCCAAAAAGGCCGAGAGCCTCCCCGCAGTCCGCCCTCCCCTTGCAGACACCATTAGCAAGAAGCGGGGACTCACCCACACAGGAATCCTGCTGCTCTTCGTAGCCAGCACTGCACACACACTTCCCAATGGGCACCAACCATTCCCCTTCCGCACTGCAGTACATTTTGGGGGTGTCCCTCTCCTCTGAATGGCCTACGCACTCTCCCCGCACTTCCACCAGGGAGGATGAGTCAGCCCCAGTCACAGCCTCAGAGAAGGATGCCAAATTCCTCACCATTGCCGGACACTTCTTGTAGTATACCCGCACCGAAACGATTGCGATGCAAGCACCTATGTCCTGGAAGGCCAAGTAGAAACCCCTCTTGCTCAAGGGCCCCACACCCCGCACCTCTGTGTTCAGCTTCAGCCTCCTAACACCCAGGTCCACACTGGTGAAGCTCTCATCAGCTGCGATGGTATCAATCTTCATAAACTGGCTCTCCCGTGTGCTGGAACCCAGGTCGCGATCTGACTCCAGGTAGTAGAGGTTAAAAGTCTCCTTGCAGGTGCCTAGCACACCCGGCATGCTATTGCAGTCCCGCAGCGTGAACTTAATCTCTGCATAGACCCGCCGGGCACCGTCCCGTTGAACCCAGTTGGTCCGTAGCCAGTTGTTCTGGTTGGGGGTCATGACATTACAGACCTGGTAGGTGTGGATAGGGCTGAAAAATTCATCCATTTCATTGATCGAATCCCACTGTGGGACAGAGAGAGAACAGGTCATTCCACACATCCTCAAAAACCACAGCAAGCACAGGGCATGCATGAGTAAGTGCTGTCATCCACTCAGTGACAAACTCCTGGTGTCCCAGGAGCTGCATCTGGACATGGGATCGCTGCTAGCATTGGCCACAGGAAAATGAGGTTGAACAGAATTTTGATGGTAGTTCTCTCAGCCCAGCCTAACACAGAGCTGAGTGAATTGCACCCCTATTTGAAAACATGTAAGTTTGCACAGGCAGAGCCAATGGCACAAGTCCTGCAGAAATGGAGAGGAATGTGTGTTTGCAGAGGGGAGAATCCGGATTCCTAATCCCCTGGCCACATCTGCAAGTCCCTTTTCCTGGTGCCCAAACTACCATTTGCAGCAGCAGCAGGAAGGTGCCTGTGGCCTGTGCCACCTAGGCCTCTGGTGGCTTGTACTAACTGTGTGCACAAGCTGGAGGGACAGCTTTCTGGCTAGAGAATGAATTTTGGGGTGCCTACCGAGGGATGAAGGGAAAGCATGCAGTGAACATAGCACTTCCAGCAAGAAATAAACCCTGCAATGGGTCCAGAGCCCTCTCTATTGCAGGTATGGTCTCTGACAGGTAAGGTGAGCACAGTTCAGAGCCCACAGTGCTCACCCCAGGTGAGAGGCTGATATATTATTTGGACTCAGTGCAAGGTCTGGGTGCCTAGAGGCTCGTGGCTTGCAAGCCCTGGGCATAACATTAGTTGTGGCAGCAGAGGGAATTTGGAGAAGGGGATGCTGAGCAGGGGCGGTCGTGTTCCAGTAAGTGGGACTGGGATGGAGACGGTAGTTTGGGGAGGCCCTGGGTGAGTTAGGAGGGGACAGGACCATTCATGCCATTTGGGGAGGGATGCCCCTCTCCATCCTCTCCAGCCCTGCCAAACCCTTACCAGGACCCACAGGCCTTCCCTTCTCTGGGGGCTTCCCACCACCTCCTCAGCCCACCCCCTTCTCCCAACCAGGTACCCCCCCTTGCATCCCTTATGGTGGGATCTGGGACCCTACACTCTTCTTATGAGCTCAGCAACAGAATCTAAAAGCACCCTTGGCAACCCTCCCTACCTGGACGTACTGCTTGCCTTCCTCGGGCTGCCAGTCCTGCCTGCACACAGCCCTCTGCCACTGCTGAAGGCAGCTGAAGGGAAGAGTCCCCCCCAACCTCTGTCATGGCATTCATGCCCTGCCTGCCTCTGGTGTGTGCACATGCCATGGGAGCGCTGTCCGGGGGAGCTGGTGTCTGCAGGAGGCCTGTGCTCTGTCCCCAGCTACCAAGCCACCCCCACCGCAGCCAGCAAATGCTCCATCAGGGATACAGAGCAGGAAAACACATCTTTTTAGCAGCCTCGTAAGTACATTAAAATAAACTTCCAGGCTTGTTGTGACGTGGCATGAACCATGCTTCTCATTCCAGTGGTGACCCACTGTTCATTATAGACGCAAAACCAACAGCAGCCCCAAGACGGTCAGCTGGATTCTCAGTACAGAGAGGGTAAGCCTGAAGACTTTACCCCGGCATCTGTGACTGCAGGTGAGGAATACAGATCTGCCACAAACAGGCACCTAGCAGCCTCTCTATGTGACGGTGAGCACTGCAGGGACAGGACGTGGCTAGGGGAGAGCACTGCAGATCCAGAACATAACCCTTACCGAAGGATTTATCAGTGATACCTGGAAGACAGGCTACTACCTTCTTTCCTTTCAGCTCAAAAGGTCCTCCCTCATTTGACTTCCTTGAATTATAGGCACCTGTGGAGGAGGTGTTTCTGCACCTTCTGCAAATGTTAGGGTGATCAGAGCAGCCATTTCAGCAATGTGTATGTTCAAAACTCCCCTGGCATTTCACCTTTAGGAAAAACCTCTACTTCTCACTCTTAAAGAGCTCATGGAAGCTTGGAAAAGGCAGCAAGTCCAGGTGCAGACCTCAGGCAAAGCACATTCAGCAAGCAACAGGAAAGTTAAGCCACTTGCAGGAGAAAAATTCATTTCTGATTCTTAAAAAAAAAAAAATTCCGGAATCCAGAAATGCCTGACCTTGTTCTGGCACTACCAGGCCCAGGGACTGGATCGCTCCACAGGACCTGCTCTGGACCCCAGCGATCAGGTAGTAGGCTTGGAAATTGTCCAGGCTACTTTTTTGGCCTTGCTAGAGGAAAGACCTGTGCCGGTGAACAGCAGCACCCCTCCAATTATGCCTCGAGTTCACCAAGTGCAGAGAGGAGCCCTTAGAAAAGCACGGGGAGAAAGTGCTTTGACACGCAGCATACTCTCATGCCACTCCGATGAGCATGGTGAGGGTGCAACGCTGCTGCCTTGTGTCACATGCAATGACAGGCAGGCACGGCAGGACTTCCCAATGCTTGGCACGCTGGCGGTGCCACCCGGAGCATCCCTTCTCTTCTCTGCACATGCCACTTGTGCTTGGGGCCAGGAGGAGCCAGCCAGCCTCCAGCTCCCGCGTGGATGCATGCAGGCACCGTAGCGCTGTGGAGGGTGTGGAAGTCATTGTCACAATTAATTGAGCACAAATTAACATAACATCTGCTTTCTGTCTTTTCCCTGCTGAATCCCCTGAGAAATGAGGCGAAACTGTGCACTGGGACAGACGCACAGCACGATGGCAGAGCAGAGAGCAGCAGGCAGGGATGCTCTCAGGACAGCGTGGCCTGGCCCCCTCTGCAAGGTCTGTGGCTCGAGGCTCTCCAACAAGCCAGAAAGAGCTTATGGTGTGGACAGAAACACCTTAGTGTCTGGCTAGTGTGGTCTGCTTTGGTTCTCCTGCACCCGGAAACATTCGCTTCTGCCTCAAATCTGGCAAAGGGAATGGTGCTTGTGACCACAGCATTTCCTTTACTTGTTTGACACTGTCACAGCTGGAACTGTCCTCACCGCTGGCTGAGAGCAGGGGGCTAAATGCTCATCTCCCAGCACTCGCAAGGGTCAACGTCAAGCCCAGGGAAGAGTTTGGAGGGTTTGTACTTGGAGCTTTTCTGTTTCAAACTGCACTTTTCCGCACAGCACTTGGGCCGTGCAGCATCGTGGGCTCCGGGTCTGCAACTGGCCTCAATATCGTGCCCATATTAGCCTACAGGGCAAATGCCATACCATTGGCAGACATGCATGAAGGCCACACGGGCTGGTGGCTCAGAATCAACAGGCACGTTTCTCTGCTGAGAAGGATCAGGCTGGCAGGCAGCCGACAGCGTGCCCAGGTGAAAGCCCTGGTAACAAGGGACCTCAGGTCCCATCACCTCCATTCGGTCCCAGTCTACAAACAGCAGCGCAGGAGACCGTCCCACTCTGCCAGGCAGGCAGAGCCCTTTGGTACCAAGGGACCCACTGCAGGAATCGTCGTGACGTGAAGGGTTTTTCTGTTTCACCTTAATTACAGAATCTTACAGCGAGCTCCCTTCCCAGGGAGAGGAGTCTCTGACCATCTGTAGCTTTGACTTTGAACGGTTCGGGGCCGATGATACGATCAGTTCAAGAACGCAAGCACTGTGCGTGCACCTGGCCTCCTGGCCCCACTCGCATCAGCCTGTTCTTGGCTGCTGGTTTGAAGTGGCTTTTATTAAATGAAGCTCAGCTCGGCCCCTGTCATTGCGATAAGATCCCCTAGCGAGACGGAAATGAGGACATCATAATTAACGTGGTAAGCACGCATGTATGTGCGGGGTGCGGGAGTTGGGCGGGGGGGGGAGCCACGATTTCATCTGTATTCAGGGGCTTGTCTAATAGTTTAAATTAAAGTCAACACGAGTTATATTGAAAAAAAAAAAGTTGCCAGATTATGAAAGGCAAAAGATGCAAATACCAGATATCTGGGCAGCTGAGCAAGGTCTTAGAAGTCTCCCAGGGCCTGTGCGGTGCAGCATAGTGGGAGGAGGAGGAAAAGCAGGGGGGAATGAACACACAAGGAGAAACTACTTTCGTCCGGGAAAGGCTCTCAGCCTCTTTATTCTGCAGGACAAATGCTTCTCCCTAGCCAAAGGGAGCAGAGGGACCAGGCCTTCCCAGCCCTGGGATGGCTTCTGGGAGGGCCGCAGTGTCTGTCTGGCACGGCAAAGCTTTTACTACCCCTAGGACATCCAGCGCTTTCCTTCTTTCTAAGAGCAAGCAGCGAGCTGTGGTTCCTCCCCAGAATCTGCCTAGTCCCTCACACCACTGTCACTAGGAGAGGAAAAGGAAAAAATGTTATTGCAGCTATAAATCATTAGATGGGAGGGGTGGGTGTTTAATAGAGGTAATCCCCATGAAATCAGTCACTGCTATGGCTAACGAGGGATTTGTTAGGCAGTTAACTACCCTGAGCTTTACTGCAGGTGATTAACTCCTGGTAGTGACCAGCCTCTGGGGAATTAGCAATAACACAGCATGTACTGAACAAGCACTGGGGGATGAGCTTTTATCTCAATTACTAGTTTAAATCTTTATTTTCCAATGTTCCGTTCCTACTGATCCATTTTTTAATGAAAATGAGTTTTGCCACAGCTTGCTCTGTAACATGCTGGCATTCTTCTAGGCGGAGGGGCTCTGTTTAGAAGAGAAACGCAAGGAAACGACACCAAGGACACCAAAGCGATGGACAACAGAAAGCAGGCAGACAGGATATAAGCGGGTGTCCAAATGGCAAGCACACAGCACAGCTCAGGCCGGAGCCATGGTTTTCACAGGGTGAGCTCAGGGCAAAGTGAGAGCTGGCTCCAAGCACCATGGCAGAGCTAGCAAGTCAGCCCTGGACCTTCCAAGTCATGAACCAGCTGCTGGCTGCAGGGGCAAAGGCAGGCTCCCTTGGTAGACATTTTTGCAGCCAAATCAAGGCCCCACCTTCCAAAATGTCCCCTTGTGCACACGGTTTGCTTTGCAAACAGTTCAGTCCCAGGGCATTAAGCAGTAGCGTGAAATTCCCATCCGCAATGAGCAAACACTGCTGAGAGAACATCCTATGGGCAGAAATGTGTTGTCTG